AGCAACCCAGAGAGCCAGACATGGCACAGCCATGTAGGAGCAGCAGTTCAGGAGCCCTGGGATGGCTCAGGAGGGTGGAGGAAGGGGAGAGTCCACGCTGGCTCTGCTCTGAGTCCAACACTCTGGGAACAGGATTCCCTGAGCAACCCAGAGAGCCAGACATGGCACAGCCATGTAGGAGCAGCAGTTCAGGAGCTCTGGGATGGCTCAGGAGGGTGGAGGAAGGGGAGAATCCACACTGGTTCTGCTCTGAGTCCAACACTCTGGGAACAGGATTCCCTGAGCAATCCAGAGAGCCAGATGTGGTATCATGTGGGAGCAGCGGCTCAGGAGCTCTGGGATGGCTCAGGAGGGTGGAGAAAGGGGAGAATCCACACCAACCCAGCTCTGAGTCCCTCACACTGGGAGCAGATTCCCTGAGCGACAGACCCCGGCACGGCACAGCCACGTGGGAGCAGCGGCTCAGGAGCCCTGGGATGGCTCAGGGAGGGTGGAGGAAGGGCAGAAAGGGGCAAATCCACCCCCAGTCTGCCCCGGGGAGCGGGGGGGCCTCACCTGAAGGCGTAGGAGGAGGCGATGAGGGTGAGGGTCACCACGTGGTGCAGCAGCATCACCACCGAGTCCTTGCGCCACGTGTCCATGTAGGCCGTGGCGTAGATGGAGTGGCCGTAGAAGCTGCCCTGCAGCAGGTACGCCACGGCGATGTCCGTGGGCACCTCCATGCCCTGCTTCCAGCCTGGGGGGGCACAGAGACGCCCAGGTGAGCCCATGGCTGTGATCCCAGAGCCCCTGGCAGCAGGGAGGGGGGTGCAAACACCGGGGAGACCCCGCACGCCGCCGGGCTCGGGGGCTCCTGCTCCCTCCCAGGGCATCGTGGATGCAGAGCCCGGGTGGGGATCCAGCTATCCCGGCTCCCAAACTCTGCCTCTGGCATCAAATCCCCTGCTGGATCTAAGAGAGAAGCCTTGATTTGGTGTCTCTGCCAAGGAATTTAGTGTCCCTGCCCATGGCAGAGGGTGATCTTCAAGGTCCCTTCCACCCCAAACCACTCCATGATTCGATTTTCTCCTGATTAATCTGCTCACCACCCTCCAGCCCCCGCTGACTCCCTCTGAAAGAAATGGTCAGAGCAGAGCCCCTCGTGCCCTTTCTGCACCCACAGCATCAGAGAAAAGGAAATTTAGGGGTTGTCTTCTCCTTCTCTCCCCCCAGCTCCCATTCCCGTGGCCAACCCAGACCTCCCAGTCCACCCCCAGCTCTCACTGTACCGTAAAAGACGGAGGGGGGGTCGTGGAAGAAGGGGTAGTCGGTGAAGAAGAGCAGGTAAGTGCCGTAGGACCAGGACAAGGTGTAGAAAAGCAGCTTCCAGGCACTCTCAGGCATCTTGGCAGCATCTTTTGGCTGCAGGTTGCACCATTCCCCAAAGGGCTGCAGGGAGAGGGGGGAAAAACCATCAGAAAGGGCAGGAGGAGAGGCCTCGGGGAGCTCAGGGCAGAGATCCCCGACTCTCCAAGGGATTTGAGCTCTGTGTGCTGCTCCAGGGGCAGGAATCCCGTTTTTCTGGCCTTCCTTACAGGAGGAATGAGGGCAAAGGGGCTGGAGAGAGCCTGAAGCAGGGGGAAAAAAACAGATTGGGGGTCCTTCCTGGAGCCTGGCACAGTGTGCATCCCACACCCCGGGCACTGCTCCACCCTCCAGGAGCCGGGCTGAGCAGAGGCTGCTTTTGCAGAACAGAAATAATGAAAAAAATAATATGAATAAAATAAAAATAAAGCCCAACCAGCACAGGGAAACCCAGGAGAGGAAGCTGCAACAACACCATCCTGTGCAGATGGACCTTGAAAAAGCTTCCAGGAAAGAGTTTTCAGCTGGGGAGGGAAAGGTTTTGCAGAGCCCTGGGCACAGGGGCAGTGCCAGCCAGCACCGGGAGCCGGGCAGGGAATGGGGTAGGGAAGGCTGGCACAGCAGGACCCGCTTTCCCAGCAGCTTTCCCAGCTGCCCAGCACTGAAACCCCGCTGGTATTTCCCCCCTCCGTGGTTCGCAGCACCTTCCCACCCCTTTGGGAAGCAGAGGCTGGAGGCAAAGCCTCCCCAAACTCGGCTGGAGGCAGGGACGGGCACGGGCGGCTCTGCTTGTGTGAACCTGGACAAAACTCTCCCACCCCGGGGAGAGAGGGACCACCCAGCCCTCCCCCAACACTCTGGGCCACTCGGGACAACTTGGAAATGGTAGGAAGAGCAGCTGAGCAGCCTCGGATTTGTGGGAGTGAAGCGGAGCAGCCGCCCCCGCCCCCGGTGCTGCGCGTTCCCCCTGCTCACAGGGGCTCCAGGCAGGGATGTTTTCCCCCTCTGTGGCAGCTGAGCGAGGCCAGGCCCCATCTCTGCTTCTCCTCACGGCACTGACAGCCCCCCTGCACAGCCCCCGGGGGGAGCAGGGGAGCCCCAGCCCGGGGAAGGGCTGCTCCAGGTCCGGAGGGAACGCTGATAACACCCAGAGACCCCCCCTGCCCCAGCTGGGAGCTCCTCAGGATGAGCCAGATAAGCTGGAGATGAAAACAAAATGCCTGGAAAGTAACTGTACCCCGGCCCAGGTCAGCACTTTCTGCAGCCCCTCGATGCCCCCGGGCTAAATTAAGGCCCCAGCTGTCCCCAGGCAGTGGCTGCTCTGGCTTTTAGCCCCTCTCTGGGTCCAATTTTCAAAAGGACTCCACTCCAAGCTTTGTCCCGGCCTCAGAGTGCTTAGTTCCAAGCTCTGAATCCCCCAGACCTGGGAGCAGCAGCCCCAGGAGCCTCCAGCCAGAGGCATCTCCCATTCAGAGCGTGGCCGTCACCAAGAGCAGGAACCACTGCCAAGGGCTCTTCCAGAGGGAGCCACGGGAGGGAAAAGAGGAGGGAGCTCGAAGGGTGGATAAATAATGCACAGACAGAAAGTCCTGAGCTCAGAAAGCATCAATTATTTGTGTCTCCACAGAGTGGAGCGTGGAAGGAGCTGGGATGTGGGGACAGCTCGCTGGCAGAGCCACCAGTCCTTCAGGGATGCTGAGCACGGCCCCAGATCCCTGTTCACCCTGGAATGGGTTGGGTTGGAAGGGACTCCAAAGATCCAGGGGCTCCAAAGATTCCAGACCCCCCAGAAAGCAGGGGCAGGCACAGGGAAGGGAACCAGCAGCACGCAGGGGACGGGGAGGGGACACGGGAATGTCCCTGGAGCAGGGGGGAGGCACAAGCCCAGGAGCCGCACGGAGCAGCCCGGGGGTGGAGATGAGCAAGGTGGGGGCTGTCCTCCCGTCACCCGGCTGCCGTTCCCATGGCAACGGCGCAGAAGATGCCTGTTGCTAAGGGTGACGGGGGCTGCAAGTCGGGAACGGCGGATCTGGCTCCGGCTGAGAGAGCCCGGGGCTCTTGGAACGGGGTTTCGCTTAAAGGGCAACCTCCTCTTCCTCCTCCTCCTCCTCCTCCTCCTCCGCCCGCGCAAAACCTCCCCCGGCACCTTCTGGGGACAATTAACAGTTAATTGGGGGCTGAGCCTGTTCCCCCGGCACACGAAGGGGGGGAAGGAGCGGAGCAGGGGGTGAGAACGTGCAGCGAGAGGGGTTCGGAGCCGCGAAGAGAAACCGGATGGAAGCTCTGCCGCTGCCCACGGCTCCGCTCCGGCGCCAAAAAAAAACACCCTCGTAGCGAGAAGAGAACACGTTTTCTCTCCCTTTTCGCAGCCGATCCCTGGGATCCACCAGCGGCAGGACGCGGGTGCTCCCGGCAGCCTGGGCTGGGAATCGAGGAGCTGGAATTGGCCGAGTCCCAGCCCTGCCACGTCTGACCCCCCCCCGGGCACAGCGAGTTCCCCGCAGGGACACAAAGGAATGGCTGGCACGGGGCACCCCCGGCGCCGGGAACTGGCAGCTCCGCGGCGGCTCTGGCTCGATGGGGATGATGATGATGATGATGATGATGATGATGAGCAAGCAGAGCTCCGATTCAAAGCCCGGCCACGACCGGCAGCTCCTGCCCCTTCCACGAGCTGCCCAAAGCACCGTGTGTGGTTTCCCAGGCTCTGTCCCCTCTGTCCCCAGCCTGGACATGCTCCTGGACCTCCTGCCACCTCAGGGATGGGGCACAGAGCCTGCAGGACCCCGGACTGGTTTGGATTGGAAGGGACTTTAAGGGTCATCCAGTGCCACCCCCTGCCATGGGCAGGGACATTTTCACTGTCCCAGGTTGCTCCAGCCAACCTGGGACAGTCTCCTTGGACACTCCCAGGGATCCAGGGGCAGCCGCAGCTTCTCTGGGCAACCTGTGCCAGGGCCTCCTCACCCTCACAGCCGGGAATTCCTTCTTAATTTCTCATCTATCCCTGCTCTTTTTCAGGAAAAAAAAACAGCAAAAAGTCACCGTTCTCCAAACCCAAAGAAAGGGCTCTCCACAGCCCTGTGCACCCCGGGGCAGTGACTGTCACCCCACCACGAGAAGGGAGTGAGCTGAGCAGGGGATGAAGAGCTCCAGCTGCCACCACCCCATCCCTGCACCACTTCCCCGGGTCGGTCTCCAGACAACACTTCCCAAAGAAACACATGGAAAAAAAGGACGCTATGATAATAGAAAGAAAAAAAAAACCGAGCAGACATCACTTCTCCCTCGGTTCCTCGCCCCTAAACAGAGAAAAGCAGCAGAAGCGTCTCCCTGAAGACCCTCCGAGCTGCCCAGGGGGCTGAGGAACCCCCGCCCCGAGCCCCGGCGCTGACACAGCAGCACAGGGACAGCAGCCCCCGCCGAGCCGCCTCACTCCGGGGGGGAAGAAAGGGCCCATTGTTGTGGCTTTTGTCCCGTTTGGAGCTTCCAGCGTTTGTGCTTCGGGGCGAGGGGAGGAAACGGCGGCGGAGCCTCCTCCCGCTCCTCTGCCCTCCGAGTGCGTTGGGTGGTCACTGCTGGGGATGCTCCCCCCCTCCCGAGTCACACCTTGGAAAAATAAATCTTGGGTGGGGAAAAGGGGCATCGATCGCTGGAAGGGATCCCGGGAACCGTCCCTGTGCAGCTTCCCGGGGCTGCACTCCACCCCTCACTTCCAACCCGGCTTCCCCGAGCACGTTTTCCAAGGCACACGACAACACTGTTCCTTTCCAGAGGACACTGCAACGTCCTACAGACTTGGACACCACCGGGAAAAAAAGAGCTGGCAGGTGTCTGGGCCAAAAGTGGAGAACATTCACCCACTGCAGAGCAAATCCTGACCCACCCCCAGCTCCAGCTTTTACACTGAGAGGATTTTCCTCACTTATTTCACTCCAGGGACTTCAATCCTGGCAGCAGAGGTGGCTCAGGGTGGCTAAGGGCTGGAAGCCTCTGCCTGGGTTTGGCTGTTCCAGCCCATCCTTGTGCCCCAGTGCAGAGCTGTGCCCTGGGTTTCACCTGTCTGGGTTCCCTGCCCTGCTCAGGGAAGGAGAACCAGCACAGGCTGAGCTCCGGGTGATCCAGCCTTTCCCCAGTGCAGCTGCCTGGTCCTGTTTCAGCAGAGCTTGGCCTTGGTGCCCTCCAGGGTGTTTAACTAACACAGAGAGAGGGGCTCAGGTTGCTGCTTTTTAATCAAACTCCTCAGGGCTGGCTGGTGTCACACAGGGGACACACCAAGGACATCAGGGACTGGTGGAGCTCGGACACCACGGGGGCAGGAGGATGGGACAGAACCCAAGGAAGCTCCCAGGGGTGGGAGCACTTCCCTAGAAGCAGCTTAATCTTAATTTCTGGAGGTGGTTTGCAGCCCCAGTGAGCTCCTACAGACACATCATCCCGTTTGTGCACTCGGAATTCAGCAGGACAGAGAGCTGAGAGCCCCAGGCCAGACCTGGAGGGGACAGATCTGTCCCTCAGGTCTCTGCAGGGACGCTCACAGCCCAGCAGAGCTGACTCTGGGGGTCCTTCCCTGCCTCACAATCCACACTTCCTCAACTGATTGGGATCTTCCCACCCCAAAACAACCCCTCTCTGTGTTTGCCCCAAGGTTTCCATGAAGAAGCAGCAACAGGACAAAAATTCTTCTCTCTATGAAGGACGGGAAAAGCACCGACCTGGTTGGGGGGGGGTCAGGTGAAAATCCACCCTCAAATCCAAACCAAACCCCTCTAATCACCTGCACGGCCTTTTCTGCTTCTCCAACCCAGCTGTGGGACCTCCTGTGCCACAGATGTTGGGGGACAAAAGCTGCTGGGAGAGAGAGCAAGGAGCCCAGTGCCCCTTGTCTGACCCAACCAGGGAGCACAGCCTGGGGGAAATGGCTTTAAAACACTCATTTCTCACAGGAGCTGCGTGGCCAGAGCTCAGCAAGGTGCTCTTGTGGTGAGAGTCACTTCCTCCTCAGACACAGAGGAGCACAAGGTTTATGGTCTGTGAGTGACAGGCAGGAAGGGAACGTTCCCTGGCCACCCCTCTCCACCCAGAGGGGTCGGTTTTACAACCCCGAGGGTTTCAGTTCCTGCAGGGAACACAGAGAGAGTCCAAAGGAGGAAGAGGCTTCAAGTCTGCACAGGGAAGCAAAGTCCTGAGCTGGGGGGAAGTTCCCTCCCGGGGTCAAACAGGTCTTTTCTCTCCCTGATGTCCCCCCCACCTTGAATGACTCCACTCTGACACTGCCCCCACAGGGGCCACGAGGCACCAACTGATCTCCTGATGGGTTTTAGGGGAAAGCCACAACTTCCATCCTTTCCCATGACAACTCCAGAGTCATGGAAGTGAGGAAATCTTCCCATCCCTTTAAGACATGTATATGCAGAGAGAGAGAGTTGTCTCTCCCTACCTGCTGCCCTGGCCCTGGGAGAAAGGTGATGCCGCTGGAACCCCGCTCAGCATCTCATCAGGATCACACATGCAGATGGAGCCACGGGAACCTGCTCCCAGCAACCCCCCCTGGCCCTTCTGCAGTTACAGGTGTGACCCATTTCCCAAGGGAACAACAGCTCAGGAGCTGCCACCCCCCTCCGAGGGCACCCCGTGGGCCCCCCCATGCCAGGAGCTGTTTGCCAGGCTCTGGAAGGGCCTCAGGCCAGGAGGAACTGGAGCTCAAAGGGAATTGTCACTGAGAATTACCTCAGACCTCGGGCAATCCAGCATTCCCAGGTGCTGGATGCTGCCCAGCCCAGCCAGGGATGCAGGGAATGAGGGGGAATTCAGCCTGGCACGACCCCCTCCCCGAACATTCCTTGCCTAAAACCACTCCAGCATCTCCAAATGACTCCAGAGGGCTCTGACTGGACCCTGCACAAGGTCAGGACCCATCAGGATGAGCAAAGGAAGAGCCCCTCTGAGGGCAGGAGGGCTGGGATAACCTGGGACAGGGATGCAGGGAATTGCCTCTGATCCATGAGGAGCCTCCAGAGGAAGCAGCTCAGCCAGGGAACGAGGCCTGTCCTGGAGCTCCTCAAGGCCTCGTGTCCCTGTGCTCGTGGGGAGGTGGGAAAAGGGTGTCCCCAAGGCTGTCCCCTGACCCGAAATCCTCCATCTCCACTGCTCCTGCCTTCAAAGCCCTCTCGAGGCCGGGGCAGCCCCGGAGCAGAGTCCCGAGCATCCCTCCAGGAAAGCAGCGTGGAAGGAACGGGCTGGGACGAGCCATTGGAGGGAGGGGGGAGCTCTGCTCTCCCTCCACGCGTTTTTCGCAGCGAAAAACGAAGCAGAGCTGCTCTTCCTGCTCAGGGACGTCCCGCTCGGCCCGTCCCTCGCAGAGGGCTGCGCTGGAGAGGGGACAAGGGCCGGCCAGCCCCTTCGGAGGCTGGGAGAGCCGGCCGGGAGCATCCCTGCATCCCCACGCTCGCAGGAAGGTCAGCCCGGCACTGCAGCACCGAGCCAGCCATCCCCGGCCATCCCTCCCTCCCTCCGCCGCCGGGCAGGGAAGGACATTTTCCATGCGAACCGCGGGGGACGGGCAGAAACGCGCCCCTCTCCTTCCCGCAGGAAGGCAACAAGCCGGGAATAACCTGGAAGGAATAACCCTCAGCCTTGTCGGGATGCAGGGATGGGGATGTGGAAGAGGGGGGGTGGCTCTCCCGGGGCGGGGGGATGCTCGTTCTCCCAGGATGCAGCCGCGGGGAAAGGCAGGGAACGAGCCGGGAATAACCTGGAAGGAATAACCCTCAACCTTGCCGGGATGCAGCGATGGGAAGGTGGAGGGGAAGGGAGCGGCGGGGGGGGGCTCTCCCGGTGCTGGGGGAGCTCTCCCGGTGCAGGGGGATGCTCGTTCCTCCGGGATGCAGCCCCGAAGGGGGGGAGGAAGGCGTAGGGCGCATTTCCCACCCCAATCCACGGCGGACGCGCATCCCACCCCGCGGACGGAGGCGGGCGATCCCCCGCCGGTACCCCGGGGCCGACCCCAAAGGGACGGTCCTCCCCCGGTCCCCCCCATCCCCATATCCGCGTCCCCCCCTCCCTTCACGGCCGGGACTGACCCGAAAGATGCTGCGGGAGCAGGCGCAGCGCAGCGCGGTCCAGCCCAGCGCGCAGAGCCCGCACAGCAGCACCTCCGCCCAGCCCAGGTGAGCGTTCTCGGCCCAGGTCCGCCTCGCCAGCTCCCAGCCGCAGTCCCCGCAGCTCCGGGCGGCCTCGGCCAGGCTCCCGTAGCCCCGGCGGAGCAAGGTCCCGTAGCCGGGCATGGGCTCCGGAGGCGGCATCGCTGCCACGGCCGCGCTCGCCGCCCGCGGCCCCGCGCAGGCTCCGGCGGGCGGGACCGCGCTCCCCCCGCGCCGGTACCGGGCGAGAAGAGCCGCCCCCCGCCACGGCCCGGCCCCCTCCGGGCTCTGCCGGGGCTCCCCGAGGGGGCAGAGGCTCCGTTCAGCAGCGCTGCAGGGAGTTCTCGGAGCTCACGGGGTGGGTTTTGGGGTTTTTTTTTGTGTGTCCCGACAATGCGGCCGCTCCGCTGGAGGACGAGCTGCGAGAACGGGCTGGAGTCGCTCCGGGAGCGAGGGACGGGGATAAATAGCGACGTTTCGGTCGCAAGAGGTGATGGAAGGGTGGCGAAGCGCCCAGGGGCGCCTTTGGGGTGGTCGTGGGGGTGGAAGGTGCCCGCAGCCCCTTGGCAGCCCCGTCCAACAACACAGAGCTGCTCCGGGTTCAAAATCCTGGACTAAACCTTAAACTGCCTGACCAAACCTTAAAAATCCTGGACCAAACCTTAAAAATCCCAGACCAAACCTTAAAAATCCCACACCAAACCTTCTCCTTTCAACGTCTTTTTCACCCTCCACCATGTTTGGTGGTTTGTTTTTTTTTTCGTTTAATACACGAAGGGAAATGTTTCTCCAGGTTATTTTTTGCCCTACCTCTCAGCACCAGCCCTGCAGGATCCATCCCTTCCTCACAGAGCTGACCAGGTGTGTCCCCCGTGGGCCACCAAAGCTCAGTTTGGGCACCTGTAGCAGTTTAAGGGTCTGGAATAATGAGATGCAGCTGTAGGATGCAAACACACCCTCCCCAAAGGTCACCCCCAGGAAAGACTGAATGTCACCTCCATCATCATCACAGGCACCATCGAGCTGTAGCTGGAACCAGCTGACAGGGAAAGGAAAAGACAAGCTAGAAATGAGTTTAATCTCATTTTGAGTCATCCAGGTTCCCCCTGGAACCTCTCCTTGCTCTGGGAGAACACGAACTGGTTCCCCTCGAGGTCCCACCGTGTCCCCCCCATGGCTCCTGCTCTGCCACTTGCTTTTATTGTTTACATTTTTAAGTCAATTTATCATGGCCCATCAAGTGGGGACGGGCTGCCCTGAGCACACAAGCCCCTTTCAGGTCTCCCTCAGACAGCTCCACAAAGGGAACATTCATCCCGGGCCGGGCCATGAATAAACCCCTCACTGAAAGGAGCTGCTGAGCCAAGGGAGGGGACAAAGGGCCCTTTCAGGGCCAGCAGGGCCAGGGGGGCACGAAGGAAGCGCCCGTGGGACACACATTTACAGTGCAACCCCCCTCCTCCCCCTCCCCAAATGATAATTCCCAACATTATCCCAGTATTCCAGGGCAGGAGGGCCCAGCTGAGGGTTCCACGGTGCAGAGTCTGGTGGGTGGGACACGGGGATGAGCCCAAGGCCACGATCCCAGGGTTGTATCCCAGGACACTTCCAGCTCCCCACGTGCTCCAGGAGGGATGCCCTGGCTCCAGGACACATGTCCTGGCTCCAGGACACGCCTAAGGCTCAGGGTGAGCCTATTAGGGCAGGATTAGTTTTATTTTGGGAGTTTTCCCCCCCTCACCAGCAGTAAAACCCCCCCAGCCAGGGATCCTTCTCCCAGGGGGGGCTGAAGGTACAGGAGTTGTGGTTGGATGGACCCAAGGAAGATCCATAACTCAGGATTGATCCAGGTGCTGAGTGCAGGTGCTAAAACCCTTCACACTCTCCCACCTTCAAACCCTCGGTCCTGGAGTGGAATCACCTGAATTCCAGAAATTACGGGGGCACAAAGATCCAGAAGAGGCTTTATTAGGAATGTTCAAGGTGCCAGAGTTGCACCCTCCTGATCTGCACGGGAGTCGACCCAGAGTTCAGGGCCCGGGGGAGGCTTTGAGCCCCCAAAATTCAGGTGCTGGACACAGGCACAGCCCCACCCCTGCTGGAGCACCAGGGTGAGGTGAGGCCAGGCTGATCTGCAGAGGGGATTTCCCATGTTCCAGAGGGCATTTTCCGTGTCCCAGGGAGGATCTGAACAGGAAGCCCAGTGCCCAGGGCTGGGCTCAGGCACTGGGTGCATATTGCAGGGCCAGCCGGTCGAAGTCGTTCTCCTGCAAGCAGAGGCAAAAATAAAGGAATAAATCCAAACTTTCCTGGGAATCTGATAAAACTCTGCCTTAACTGAAGAGAACAGCTCACTAAGTCCAGAGGAATTCTAGGAAACGAGATCACCTGCACCGATTTTTTTTTTTCAGTTTGCTTCATTTTCCCTCTCCCCAAATTCTATTTAATCTCTTACATTCCCTCCATTTAAATGTTTCATGGCAACAAACTTCCACTTGGATTAAGAACCTGTTCCTCACAGCTTTTGGGCCGTGGTCAGGTACATCCCACCTGGCTTGTGCTTCCCAAAAAATCTCTCCCAAGGGCTGGAAAATTTAACTCAAGGGTGACAGGGCAGGGACATGGAGCTGCCTCCTCAGGCCAGAACCCACTGGCCCCATCACAACTGGATCTGAGGCCCAAGAAATTCAACTTTATATCATTTATTTCTACCCTGTTCTGTTCTATACCTTTGCCTGATACTCCTTGATGAAGGGGTGGTTTTTGTGAGCATCTTTCAGCTGCGACAGGTAACGATTCGTGACCTGGTGGGGGGAAAAAAACAAAGTTAAACGTTCAAACAACAGGAGGAAAAGCCAAAAGTGCAACAAATCACCCCTCAAAGGGTTTGTTCACAGCTAAAAACCTGCTTTTCTCAGTGTCTCCCACGTCAGCAGCCCCAGTGAAAACCAGTAAGACCTTTTAAAACCAGTAAGACCTTTTAAAACCAGTCAGACCCGCACGCCCTTAATAAATAATAAAACGCCCCTAAATAAATGATAAAATACTTAAAAATAAACCTGAAATCGGGGGTTTAAGTGAAAAGAAAAATCAGCAGGAGCTGAGCTTAGAACTCAAGTGATTTCCTTCTGCCCAGGCCTTCCTCTCAATGTCATGGAATTATGGAATGGTTTGGACCTTAAAGATCATCTAATTCCAAGCCCTTCCGAGGGCAGGGACATTTCCCAGGTTGCTCCAAGCCCTGTCCAAACCTGGCCCATGTCCTCAGTATTTCCACAAACTCTCCTTTAGGGGTGTGAGCTCCCCACCCCCAGAACCATTCCCAGATCCTGCTGGGAACACAGGGAACTCCCAGAGCTCTCGGATCCGCCGGGAACACCCAACGAACGCGGCCTCACCTCCGGAGCCTTTCCCAGGTGCTGTGAGAGCACCACGAGGTTCAGGAGGGTCTCAGGGTGGCCACTGTCCTGCAAGGAACAACAGCCACTGAGTGCTGGGATCCACAGCCTGCAGGGAACAGCCCTGCCCAACCCCCTGCCCTGGGAATGGGAACAGGGACAGGCACCAGGACGGACAAGGGATGGAGGGACAGGACCAGGGAATGGCTTCCCACTGCCAGAGGGAGGGTTAGGTGGGATAGTGGGGGGGGAATTCCTCACTGGGAAGGTGGACACGGGCTGAGATGGGTTTCCCAGAGAAGCTGTGGCTGCCCCTGGATCCCTGGAAGTGTCCAAGGCTGTGTTGGGGCAACTTGGGATAATGGGAAGTGTCCCTGACCACGGCAGGGGGTGGAACTCCATGACCTTCAAGGTCCTTCCCAACCCAAACCATCCTGGGATTCCACCTCCAACCAGCCAGGGATTCCAACCCAAACAATCCTGGTATTCTACCCCAAATTATCCTGGGATTCCACACTAAACCATCCTGGGATTCTACCCCAAATTATCCTGGGATTCTACCCCAAATTATCCTGGGATTCCACCCTAAACCAGCCAAGGATTCCACCCTAAACCTTCCTGGGATTCCACCCCAAATTATCCTGGGATTCCACCCTAAATCATCTGGGATTCCAGCCCAAACCATCCTGGGATTCCACTCCAAACCATCCTGGGGTTCCACCCCAAACCATCCTGGGGTTCCACCCCAAACCATCCTGGGATTCCACCCCAAACCATCCTGGGATTCTACCCCAAATTATCCTGGGATTCCACCCTAAACCAGCCAAGGATTCCACCCTAAATCAGCCAAGGATTCCACCCTAAATCAGCCAAGGATTCCACCCTAAATCAGCCAGGGATTCCACCCCAAACCAGCCAAGGATTCCACCCTAAACCATCCTGGAGTTCCACCCCAAATTATCCAGGGGTTCCACCCCAAACCACCCTGGGGTTCCACCATCAGCCCCACCCTCAGCCCCACCGATCCCTCCACTGGCATTTCCATGAATTTTCCCGGTGAAAGCCCTCTCTGTTCTCCCCAGCCCCCCGCCGAGAGGTGGGAAGAGCAGGCAGTACCTTGTCCAGGGCCTCCTGGAGAACTCCCTCGGCGTCCTCCCACTTGCCCTGGGCCATGTAACAGGCGGCCTGCCCGTTCAGCAGCAGGAGGGTGGGGGAACACTTGTCTGCCATCTCTTGGAAAATGTAATAAGCATCCTGGAGCTTCTCCCCACCCTGCAAAACACCCCCAGGCTCATCACCTGCTGCCAAGAAGCCCCCAAAAACCCTGAAGCACCAGAGACACAATTCATTTCTAAAGGTTATCAAGGGAAATTCTGGAGCACCAGCACTCCCTGATGCCTGTGATCTCCTGCACCACAACACAGCAGCCAGAGCAGATCAAAGAAATGCATAAATATTAAATATTAAGAACCACTTAAATGATCAAATGAGCCAGGCTTGTCTTCAGAAAGGAAAAAAAAAAACCAAATTCACTTCAAAAGAACCACTTCACGTGTCTGACGTAATAAAGGGGGTGAAATGAGGTTTTTATGATTTTTTTTTTTTTTTTTATAATTAAACACCTGGGTTTCTCAAAAGGTTCTCCATCCAGGAAGGTTCTAGATCCAGGAAGGTTCTACATGCAGTGGCTGCTCCAGTTGGAGGTGGGATTCCTCATGGAAACCAAGACCTTGAGGAAAATCCAGCCACGCACTGATTTAAGGCCAGGGCTACACATGAGAGGTTTCACACCAAAAACCAAGTGAACTCCAAAAAGAAATAATTTTGATGGTCCAACAGGTTGTTTCCTGTGCAGCCTTGGACTTCAATGAATTTTAGGGGTTTTATTTTCAACCTGGCCTGCCAAGCTGAATGTTCTGATTCACAAACGTGCTTAAGGACAGGCTGCTCTAAGCACAGGAAGACACTTTTTTCTTGGAGCCTGGGAACCAGGAGCAGAGCATTCCCACCCTGGGATGTCTGGGGGGTTATTTAAGTGTGGTTTAGCTCCTCCTGTGAGGAGGAAGAGCATCAGACCAGCCGGTGAGCTTGTGAAACCAACCCCCCCAAAATGTTCTGTGCGTTAAAAACTCAGCCCTGGGTGTTCTGCTGGAACCAGGACGTGAAAGGAGCCCCCAGGAACAGGAGCTGTCGTGGTTTTTTGGGGGCTGTAGGTCAGGGATCCCTGTCCCAGGTACCCACCACGGCCAGGTTCACCCAGGCAGTCGCCAGCTGGGTCAGAGTTGCGTCCTCATCCTGCTCCTGCATCTTCTTCAGCTCCTTCCTGCAGGAGATGGAGTCACACCAGAGGAAGAAAACAACTCCTTTAAGACACAACCAAAGGGCTGTGGTTTCTCCTCCCAGCTGGGAATGTGACAAACCCCTCAATATTTCACTGGAACAATCCATGAAACGCTTCCCTGTTTTACTTCCCCAGAGATTCCCACCACGTCCTGCTGAAGGGAAGACCCAAACCTCGAGGTCCAGCCCTGCCTTTGGCCATTCCCAGCTCTGGTTTTGCAACTTGAGGAGCAAAACCACCCGTGGCTGTGTCACTGCAGGAGCTGGATTTTCCCTCCCTCGGGGCTCTTCCCACACAAACACCACCAAAGAGCAAAGGGAGACAAACCCACCGGGCCAGGTCGAGCCTGTCGAGCTTCAGGAGGATCTGGATCATCATGGCCATGCTGGAAGCAACAAGAGAACAGGGATTTCCACAGCTGGACTCCAGGATCCTGCTGGGATCCAGCTCGGGGTGCTGTAGGATGAGGCCCTGGACTGGATCTCCCAGAGAAGCTGTGGCTGCCCCATCCCTGGGAGTGTCCCAGGCCAGGTTGGACACCCTGGTGGATGATTTTTAAGGTCTTTCCAAGCCAAATCACTGTGTGATTTCCTGGGCTGAGCCTGGGAGCCTGCTCCCAGCTCCCTCCCTGCCACACTGCCCATCTCAGCAGCCAGAGCCTGCCAAGATCCATCCCCAGGCTCCCACATTCCCAGGGGAGCACCAAACCCCTCCAAAGCCAAACCTCTGAGGAGCTTCCCTGGTGCTTCTGAGGCTCCTCTGAGCCAGGCCAAGGCCCAGCCAGGGCCATCCTGCCCTTCCTGGGGGACAGGGAGCCCCGGGAGGGCTGCACCCCCCATTCCAGGAGGGCTGCACTCCCCATTCCAGGAGGGCTGCACTCCCCATTCCTGGAGGGCTGCACTCCCCATTCCAGGAGGGCTGCACCCCCCATTCCAGGAGGGCTGCACCCCCCATTCCAGGAGGGCTGCACCCCCCATTCCAGGAGGGCTGCACTCCCCATTCCAGGAGGGCTGCACCCCCCATTCCAGGAGGGCTGCACCCCCCATTCCTGGAGGGCTGCACCCCCCATTCCAGGAGGGCTGCACTCCCCATTCCAGGAGGGCTGCACCCCCCATTCCAGGAGGGCTGCACCCCCATTCCAGGAGGGCTGCACTCACCATTCCAGGAGGGCTGCACCCCCATTCCAGGAGGGCTGCACTCACCATTCCAGGAGGGCTGCACCCCCTATTCCAGGAGGGCTGCAC